ATAACATCCTGGTGGGACTCCATCTCTCTAACATCCTAGTGGGACTCCATCCCTGGGACTCCATCTCTCTAATATCCTGGTGGGACTCCATCTCCATAACATCCTGGTGGGACTCCATCTCTCTAATATCCTGGTGGGACTCCATCTCCATAACATCCTGGTGGGACTCCATCTCTCTAATATCCTGGTGGGACTCCATCTCCATAACATCCTGGTGGGACTCCATCTCTCTAATATCCTGGTGGGACTCCATCTCCATAACATCCTGGTGGGACTCCATCTCTCTAATATCCTGGTGGGACTCCATCTCCATAACATCCTGGTGGGACTCCATCTCTCTAATATCCTGGTGGGACTCCATCTCCATAACATCCTGGTGGGACTCCATCTCTCTAATATCCTGGTGGGACTCCATCTCCATAACATCCTGGTGGGACTCCATCTCTAACATCCTGGTGGGACTCCATCCCCATGTCCCCATCTCCATACCATCCTGGTGGGACTCCATCCCCACGTCCCCCCATTGCCCCCTTCCATGTCCCCCTCAGGTCTCTTCCAGAAGGCCATCGCTCAGAGCGGGACGGCCATCTCCAGTTGGTCAGTCAACTACCAACCCTTGAAGTACACGCGGTTGTTGGCGGCCAAGGTTGGTTGTGAACGAGCAGACACTGGAGCAGCGGTGGAATGTCTCCGACGTCAACCCTTCCGCTCTTTGGTTGACCAAGATGTCCAACCAGCTCGTTACCACGTTGCTTTTGGTCCAGTGGTGGACGGTGACGTTGTCCCAGATGACCCTGAGATCTTAATGCAACAAGGTGAGTTCCTCAACTACGACATCCTCATCGGGGTCAACCAAGGAGAAGGTTTGAAGTTCGTGGAGGATTCTTTGGAGAATGAAGATGGCATCTCAGCTTCTTATTTTGACTTCACCGTCTCCAACTTTGTGGACAACCTCTACGGTTACCCCGAGGGGAAGGACATCTTGAGAGAGACCATCAAGTTCATGTACACGGACTGGGCAGACCGGGACAATGGGGAGATGAGAAGAAAGACCTTGTTGGCTCTCTTCACCGACCATCAATGGGTGGCTCCAGCGGTGGCCACGGCCAAACTTCACGCCGAGTATCAATCACCCGTTTACTTCTACACCTTCTACCACCACTGCCAGACGGACGCGCGGCCGGAGTGGGCGGACGCGGCTCATGGAGATGAGATCCCCTACGTCTTTGGTGTCCCCATGGTTGGAGCCACTGATCTCTTCCCTTGTAACTTCTCCAAGAATGATGTCATGCTCAGCGCCGTGGTCATGACCTACTGGACCAACTTCGCCAAGACTGGGTGGGTGACCAGGGTCAGGATGGGTTAAAATGGGGTGGTTGTGGTGGGATTCCATCCTCACGTCATCATCATCATCTCCCCATGTCTCTGTATCATGGTGGGACTCCATCCCCATGTCTCTGTATCCTGGTGGGACTCCATCCCCACGTCTCTATATCCTGGTGGGTCTCCATCCCCACATCCCCACCATCTCCCCACGTCTCTGTATCCTGGTGGGATTCCATCCCCATATCCCCACCATGTCCCTGTGCCCTGGTGGGTCTCCATCCCCACATCCCCACGTCCCCACCAGTCCCCACCATCTCCCCACGTCTCTGTATCCTGGTGGGATTCCATCCCCACGTCCCCACCATCTCCCCACGTCTCTGTATCCTGGTGGGATTCCATCCCCACGTCCCCACCATCTCCCCACGTCTCTGTATCCTGGTGGGATTTCCTCCCCACCTCCTCACCATCTCCCCACGTCTCTGTATCCTGGTGGGATTCCATCCCCACGTCCCCACCATGTCCCTGTGCCCTGGTGGGTCTCCATCCCCACGTCTCTGTATCCTGGTGGGATTCCATCCCCACGTCCCCACCATCTCCCCACGTCTCTGTATCCTGGTGGGATTCCATCCCCACGTCCCCACCATCTCCCCACGTCTCTGTATCCTGGTGGGATTCCATCCTCATCATCATCTCCCCATGTCTCTGTATCCTGGTGGGACTCCATCTCCACGTCCTCATCATCATCTCCCCACGTCTCTGTATCCTGGTGGGTCTCCATCCCCACGTTCCCCACCATCTCCCCACATCTCTGTATCCT